GCGAAGAAGTTAATAAGGATTTGAGCCATACAAAAAATTCAAAAATGTAGAAGAGATGCATTCTAGCATAGTATGTAGTGAGTGGTAATTTCTGGTAATCATTACGTGTAAAACTGGACAAAAAAAGCCCACTTTTATCAGCAACAGTAGGCGGTTTCACGGGCACATCAATGGCATCCTTTTCTTGCACCTTCTTTGATCCTGCAGCTCGCCCACGTATGGTCTCATCTTGTATATCAAATAAAGGATGTACCTTAAGAAAAATAGATATAAAGCATAAACAGTGTTGTAAGCAGATTTTGCACACACCAAAGTCTGTTCAGTTGTTCCACCACTTCCTTTGCCGACAGTTCTCTTCTCCTTTTCCTGTGTTTTCCTCGTGATATCACGCATGAAATTCCACGTTGAAAATAATCAAGAAAATTCTAACAAACACACTTAGTGACATAAGCAATTAGGCTACGACGTCCCCTGTACAGAATCGCACTGCTGCAATCTGATAAGCATTTTCATCAAGACTGAGGCCTCTACTCGAAAAAGATTTCTATCCAAACTTTCAATTTCATCTTTGCACTCTTACAATCTTCGTTCATATAGTCCCTGGGTTTTTGTGAATGAACGTAACGAAAGGAATAAATTGAATCAACAAAAAGCAGAAAGCGTCCAGGGACTCAATAATATTTCGGAAAGACATTGATTGCGAGACCGGCGCGTTGCAGTACGAAAACACGTACGCTTATCCCCATCAGTGCAATTCAGCTCAGACGAGGACTTGTAAAATGTCTTAGGGCACATATCCGTTTTTAGATAGTCAAGGCAGTAAACAGACATTACACATTTTTTCAGTCGTTTTAGTACTAATTTACTGTACGAAAAGTATAGAAGAGTGATAAATAAAAAGGTACCCAAATGCCATGAAAATTTACCAATACGGCTTGCGCTGAGAAGCCATGGATGAGGACAGAAGCTGAATGCGAGATGGAACCGTTGCACTAGATCGAACCAGAGGAGGAGCAGCACCGATATGCATAGGAGCCCAGCGTTCAGATGGTACCGTAGAGCCGCGCATAACCGGGAGTTTACGAGCTTCCTAAACAAAAAAGTGGTGGCATAAACACGCTACTCCAAAGGACAGAGGGAATTCTAGCATACCCTAGCAGGAGTGTTTATTCGTTCAAGATGATTGAGTATAGCTTTCGTTTTTGAGCTGAGACTTGAAGAATTGCTGCGGTTGCTTCCAATGCGACTGAAAATGATTTGCTATACATGCAGAATTACAAAAACAGTGGAATTACCCGATCAGCGAGCGATTTGAAGAACTAGGAGAATGAGCAAAATCAACGCAAGAGAACGAGCCTCCCACGCTTCTATCTAACCAGGAAGAATCGAGATCATCCGAGAAAATACGAGTATGCTAAACGAAATGCTCGAAAT